CTTCATTTTCTACGTGGGCGTTGAGGTAAAATTCGTGCATCAGGTGGGGACGTGCATCAGGTGATCAACTACGGTAGTGCAACGTAAACAAATGCTTGGCGCCCTAAAGTCTCAGGCATCAAAATCTGCATGCCGACCCTTGCGCGCATCAACACTCAAATGTGACATGCCAGCTGCAAAAATACATCCTTTTCACGAAATTAAGCAACGTAACGGAATATTATACAGTCTTGACTACTTCTTCACTTTCTGTGACCATTTGAACGCGTCATGGCCCCTCGCGACAATCCTCTTGTTTGGCACTGGCTTCATGACGACTCAACGGCGCCTCCTGTTCAACTAGGATCGCCACTCCTCTCATCTCCTGAACATAACTCACCATAGTCTAAAGAACAGGACAAGAAAAGCCATGGATCCGAGAGTTCGGCGAACCGTCAGTGCGGCAATAACGACAATGAATTACTCCCCGATCAAAGTGTTTCTCTTGCCGCACTTAGTGATTTTGAATCGCATTCCACTTCGACGCGTCAAACACGGGCGTTAGACCCGGCTCGAGATCTACTGAATGATCTCCGAGTGTCGAGGCCTGCTATCTATTGTGATGTTCCATTCACGATAGCTCTGCCGGAATATGCTATCGCCTTGCATGATATCATCAGTCAATCTCTCGATGAAGGAGTCGTTCCTGCTCAGTTGAAGGTGCATATAAATGATAGCTACCCTCCGGTGTCAGTACCTGATGATGACTTTTATTCCTGTTTAGGATTGGATACTCACTGCGTTTCCTCTGGTTGCGCAGTCAATCCCGGACTATGCATATGATAAGTCGGGGTCTGATTCGTATAGAGAACTTGACCGTCTTTGGGAGACCGTTATAGAAATACTTGATGAAGCCCGCGACTGCAGTAGGCAGCAGGGAGACGAGAATCATTGGTGTTCCAAAATCATACATCCAATGCTTCGCCTTGCATCGAAGGGGAGCATGCTGAAAGTGCAGAATGTGTAGGTTTACATTTCAAGTTATCTCTCCTTGCTAATGCTCAAAATAGTTAAACCCAACCAATAAACCCAGATCTGCTTCCTTTGACACCTCGAAATTAACTATCGCATTCGCAGAACGGCCGACTATGCCTTCTCTTTTCATCACAGCGCCAGCCAGACATTGGAGCTATATCAAATGCTATCCCTCGCAGAAGTGGGCGATAAGCTAATTCAGACAACAGATGCTACCACCAAGCGACTCGTCCTGTTCTCCGGATTGGAAGTCAAGCATGAGAATGGCGGTAAAGATGAAGCTCTCGCTCAACTCGCGATATGGTTAGCAGCTGGAATGCAGCATCTCAGAAACTTACAGCAGAACATAAGGCCCTGTTCATTCAGTGATCTGCCTCCAATGATAGGATGAACCGTTATTGGCTATGACTGGCATACGTATATTGCGTTTGGAGATACCTCGAATAACGGCGATCGGATTGTGGGTGGATCGATATCCTGTATCGCGGCGTTTTAGCTGACATTAGGAACGCAGCATATCCTTGGTCCTTGGAGAGCAGCAGCTGCAGACACCAGAGATGTGTATGGGTTATTCAAATTGCTCAAGCTTCTGAAAAAGACAGTGGAATATGCTTGTACTATCCATTAGCCCTGGCTACGAGAAAATATCTTCCAGCAGTTGTGCTCTGATGAGACTGGTCGATAGTTAACTGGTATTTCCATTACCAATTATGATGGTTTGCGCGCGTAATTTGGGATTTATAACGAAGTTGAATATAATAATGCTTTCTGGGCAATGAACTGGGTTTCTGAAGGCTAAAAATTGGCCAAACGCCCAAATTCCACAACCTGAGTCAAAATAAACACACTATTCGATAGGCTTGAACGCGTTATAAATCGGTTTTAAGCGAAAAAAAAAAAATTTGCCTTAATACTCCTAAATTGGTGGTGGCGACAGGGTGTATTTATGATAACCGTCTCTCGGCTACTTCGTCAATATGCCATGAGAATCACCCGAGACGGCTATATGACACCATAATCCAATCTACATGGTAGTCTAGCAACGACTAGATATAAATCAATCATCCCAAGCTGTCTACCTCAATCAAACCCGTGTCACAATATTCCGAAAGCACTATGGCGGAGGTCAAACAAGTCCCATCAACTTATCTACAATCTTTGCCCGCCACACTGAGAATTGACTATCCGAAATGGTTCGGTGGATCAGCATCATGTATGGCCGTTGCTGTATCGCATCCGCTAGATCTGAGTGAGTATAAAACGAAAAGAGCGGCCTACACTACTGACACACACAGTCAAGGTGCGAATGCAGATGGATGGCGGACCTGGACAAGGAACGCTCAAGACGGCTAAGACGGTTATTCGGGCTGAAGGTCTATCAGGGCTATATAGTGGAGTAAGGTAATTGGTATCCACTGTTAATACATGACGCTAAACGTGGCAGTTGTCAGCAGGGCTTATGAGACAATGTAATCATATACTCAGAAGTCATAAATAATGGAACTAACTCGCTGGTTCTAGTAACGTACGGATCTGTTCGCATCGGCCTCTACGAATCAATCAAAGATGTATGCAAGGAGAAAGATGTGACTCTAAATGCACCTGCGCTAGCCCTAGTAGCCGGATGCACCGGCTTCATAGGGGCTCTATTCGGCACCCCATGCGATATCGCGAATATACGCATGCAAAATGACCAATCGCTTCCGCCTAGCTCTCGACGCAACTATGCTCATGTGTTCGATTCTTGGGTTCAAATGAAACGCTACGAGGGCTGGGGAGCGTTTACTCAAGGGCTGTGGCCCAACTGTTTTCGTTGTGCAGCTATGACAAGCTGTCAGTTAGCATCTTACGATGTTTTCAAGGGCTTTTTGATGCGTGTTACAGGCACAAAGGGAGAGCATCCGGCTCTTCATGTGTCTTCCTCTCTGCTGGCAAGTCTTGTCGCGACAACGCTCTGCAGTCCAATAGATGTGATCAAAACGCATTTGATGGGAAACTCTGGACATGGTTCTACTCTCAATACCATCAGAGGATTAACTGCAACCGAAGGAATCAAGTGGGTATTTCGTGGGTGGACGCCTAGCTTTGTCAGACTGGGCCCTCAGACTATGGCTACGTTGGTTTTGTTAGAGGAACATAAGAGGCTGTATAGAGTGATGAAGGGGGTGGATGACAGGTCCTTGTAATTAGAGCTCAGCGGGAATGTGCTTCTCCCAAACTGGAGAAAAGCGAGTGTATTTATTCAGGATAATACCTTGCCAATCAAGCGATTGACGCCATAGCTCTCACCTAGGTAGTCGGCTACATGGTCAGTGGATCCTTCCCCGGCATCTCTCAGCCCAACAGTAGCAAGATGCGGGGAACATTTCAAATCATTGCTATCATTGGGTCTAGTAAAACCCCCACAGTATTTGCTTTCAAATCGCATGATAAAATCGAAGCGAGTATAAAGTCGTGGCAAGCAACATGGCGTTTGCTTTTGTTCTTGTCTTTCACCTGAAGCCTCGTCTCCCTTGGCCTGCACCATGCTCTTGGAAGGACGACGCCTCATGCTGGCCCAGACCATCCTGGTCACTTTTCCCAGCTTCATACTCTTTGGATACAATCAGGTCGGAGTTGGTGGCTTGTTGGCCTTTGAAAGCTGGACTCGAACATTTCCTCAGATCGATACCACCCATACCCAGGATGGCACATCTTATAACTCTATTATCCAAGGGGTCTACGTCTCGTCGTTCACTCTCGGTGCGCTCTTCGGTGCTTTATCGTGTTCAGCACTTGGAGACTGGCTTGGGCGGCGCAAGACTATCTTCATCGGCGCCTGTTTGACTTTGATCGGGGAGATCATCTCCTGTACCTCGTTTGACTTGTCTCAGCTTATCGTGGGGCGCATAATAATCGGCATTGGTGTCGGAGAGCTGAGCACCATTACTCCAGTCTGGCAATCCGAATGCTCCCCTGCAATCAACAGAGGAGCTCATGTCGTTGTGGACGGTATCGCAATCACCAGCGGGTATATGCTCTCGTCATGGATCAACTTCGGCTTCTCTCACATTGAGGAGTCATCGGTCTCATGGCGTGTTCCACTCGCTATCCCTTGTGTCATTTCCATAACTCTGATTGCCTCCATATTCTTCTTCCCTGAATCCCCACGATGGCTCGTGAGCTCCGGCCGTCGTGATGCAGCGGCCCACGCCCTTGCACGAGTCAAACAAGTGTCCCCTGATGACCCTAATCTCCGACAGGAGGTCGCCACAATCGAGTTATCGCTGGAAGAAACAGCACGAACCGCCGCAAAAATGAAAGACATATTCACCATGAAACAGGGGAAACTCTTCTACCGTTTCATGCTCTGTATGGGTCTTCAGTTCTTTATCCATATGACCGGTGCCAACGTCATCAGCACCTACGTGACCACCATCTTCCAACAGGATCTGGGCCTCTCAAATGACCTCTCTCGTATCCTCGCTGCATGTGCATTGACATGGAAGTTCCTTGCCTCGTTTGTCGCTTTCTTCACTATCGACCGGTTTGGAAGACGAAAGCTTTTCCTGTTCACAGGAACGGGGCTGACGGTTTGCATGACGGGATTGGCTATTACGAATAGTTTCCCGGATGACAATAAACCTGCTTCGATCTTCAGTGTTATTTTCATCTTTTTGTTCAACTTCTTCTTTCCCATTGGGTTTCTGGGAACTTCGTTCCTGTACTGTACGGAGGTTGCGCCGATTCGGTTGCGAGTGGCCATGACGTCTATTTCGACGGCCAATCATTGGCTTTGGTAAGTTGTCTTGATTAACACAGTTCCTTTTATGATGCAACTTCTGATTAAAGGGTGAATAGGAATTTTGTCGTCCAAATGATCACTCCCGTCGCCCTCAGCAATATCGGATATCAATACTATATAGTCTACGCGTTGATCGCATTCTGCTTTCCTATCGTGGCGTTTCTCTTCTACCCCGAGACAATGGGTCAAAGTTTGGAAAAGATCGAAGAGCTGTTTCAGCAGGATATATCTATCTTTGACACTGTTAAGGCCGCGAGACACATGACTAGGTGGCCTGAGCTGGATGGCCAGGTGAATGAGGATGGCAAGATTGAGGTTGAGCAGATTGAGGATTCGGCGGATGAGAAGTCAATTTAGTTTGTACTTGACCGGGAGCGTCTATATTGCCCGTGATATTAACAGACAAAAGATTATGCAAGTCTAATACATCCAATCGTGTCCGCGCTCCACCTGCTTCCTCCTCGGAAATGCCCGCTTGACTGCCATCTTGGCACGACGAACACTACCTAAATTACGAGTTTTTTGCAATCTGCTCAACTGATCTAACACAAACCGTCGATGGTCCTCATTTTCTGTAACACAATTTCCTAGGATGAACAGTGGCCATAATGATGTTGCAAAGTCGGGTAGGGAAGATATTTGACGGATGATGGTGGTCATGAGGTATCGTTTGCTGGATGTGTATTGTTGTGATGTAAGGCCTGTTTGGGCCAGAGTGGAATTCAAGGCTTGCTGTACGCACGTAGTTTCATTAAGTATGTCGGTAAGATATAGTAGTGCGGTTAAACGTTTGATTTCTGCAATTTGAAAAAGATCATTTCGGTTTGCCGAGTGGGCGGGGAGTATTTGTTTCAAATTTTATAGTGAAGACTTGATTGCAAGAGCCTTCTTGTTGACATCGCGATCTTTGCTCTGGAAGGGATTTTTTTCTGTGGCCTGGAACCAGTTTATTAATGCTCAATATCAAAAGTTACATACAGAATTACCATTGTTTGTCCAACTGTCATATCTGAAATTTCATCAATCAGGCTCATCAATCTCCGTGAGCAGCCCATGACCATGTCAGTCTAGTCAGTCAGCCTCTAGCATTCTCAAAGCCCTTATCATCTTACCTCGTCTAAATCATCACCGTCTGTCCCGTTGCATACACTTTTGACATCCGCTCTTTTCTGAGGCTATTTGACTCATGATATCATGTGTCACAAAATACATAGTAAAGAATTTCCGTAGCGATGGACTCTCACAATGTACCGCTGTGGTATGATTCAGAAGTTCAAGTCCAGCACGAAGATGCGTTATCCATGAGGGATCACACTCATCGGATATCGAGCTGTCTTAGTATAGTATACATTGATATTTGTCGTGGGCGTACTTACATCGTGGAAGCAGAGCATGAGTACGGTTGCAATAACCCCATCATCAATCCTATTGTGCGAGATGGCTTGATTCAGGCTATTTAAGACCCTGCTCTTATAAGAAAACGTCTCTTTGACAAACCGCGTGTCTCCCAAAAGACACAATTAATTTCTAGCAGCCGCCAACAAAGCGTTTCGTAGTGTTGGGTGTACAAAGCAAAGCGCCGTTATGAGCGATATATATAGGTTGTCTATCTGGCTCAACGCGCAGTTCGGTCCAATTCCGTGAATGAAGTAATCAAGGAGATAGATCTCAACTTCAGAGTACTCCGTCAACGGATGACCGAAGGAGAAAGTCATCAAATCGAGAATATCGTAATCCATAGTCATCTCTGATAGATCGTTATGAGCAGCCCCGTCAAAGCTGAGCAACTTTGAGTGGTAATATGCTCTCTGTTGTGTTCAAAAAGATATACCTCCCGACGTACTGGTCTAATGGTACTAGAGTGTGACATCCGGTTGTATTAGAAGGTGACAATGCAGCTCCTTTGCCAGCTTTCTTGCCCCATTTGCCTAAGAATGTAGAACTCAAGATCCCTCGGAGGTGTTACCTTCGCGGCCAAAGCTAATACCTCGTTGGAGCGCATCCTCTTGGAACATTAATTTCAGACCACGCTCGCACTTGAGGTTCAATCGCTCGCAACGTCGACATCGCGGCTTTTCTTCGGTGCATCGGACATGCATTGCTTTGCATTGGTGGCAACCGGATCGTCGACGGTTCTCACACCCAGTGCGCTGCCGGGACGCCATTGATGCTCTGCAACCAGCTAATTCTACTTAGCAATCAAGAAAAAGTAAATCACGCATACGAAGATGATCGTCGGGTGTAGCAAGTCCAGCGGTGGACCTTCCTCCGGTCATTATCAGCGGTGCGGGGAAACACCTTGCCTATTCGGGCTGGCGGGTGGAGACTGGCAGTTTGTTCTGTTTGCTCTGTCTGCTCTGTTTGATCAGTCAGGTCCGTCCGCTTATCCCCGGCTTCTTTCGTCCCTTCTTGATTTGCCTTCTTCAGTCGTCCTTCATCTTCCACTACTTTGCCATCGTTTCATGCACCGTCCATGAATGAAAGTGCCCTCGTTCTGATTGCAGCTCAATTTAATATTAGAAATTTAGACATACATAGCATTTTTTTTGCAACTATTTGCGGCATTTCTTTCTGAATTCCTCCCCCCTGCATCATTTAGCGAACTTCAAGTAATGTATCTGAAATTCTTTTGCTCAAAGTCTGTTTGATCTGCAAACACATCAGCCAGGTCATCCTCGCTAGAAGGCCCAGACTCCGCATCAATACCATCCAGTCGTCGATTCAGTCGGTCTACGATAATCCAATACACTCCAATCAGACCGATACAAACACAATAACAAGCCAACATCGCGACAAATCCTCCTGTGTATGTGGGAGCCTGTTCCTCGCGGAATGTTTGAGGTCCGATTAGATTTCCTGGGTGCGGAGTGAGCTCCGAATTACAAAAGGGATCGTTGGATGGAACCTACCAACCGCATAGCCGATATACAAGATCGAATATTGAAAGTTTTTCTTCGTGTGACCGGCAGTGTTGGCCTGGGCCATTGAAATTCCTAAATGGCTCAGCATGGCATTCGCTCGGTTACTCAGTCGGAATACATACCAACTACGTATGGACCAAAGTAAGTGTATAGCTGGTTGCGGAGTTAATGAACCTTCACGAGGATTGCCAGATCATAGAACATACCAGATATATCCCGACCATCTGTCCCCCAATGTTTGTTCGTGGAAGAGTATAGACAACCCCAGATCCGATAATCAGTAAGAAAAAACAACAACTTCGACGCGAACCTAATTTTTGAAATTACTCAACCACCACGACGGTTACGGCCTCTAGAATCAGCCAGTTTACTATCAACCCCAGCCGCTATCGATTGAACCTAACTTTATAGAGGATATCGATATAGTTGAGGTGAAACCCTCGTGGCCGGCCCTTTCAGGGATTCCCGAGGCGGTAAACGCACATAATCAGAATTTTCTCAACTGCGTTTTGAACCTCAATAAAGATGCGCAACAATACCTTTCATTCAACGAATTGAATGAAAAACAGCTTTCCAAACTGGTAGTCAGCTTTATACAGCAGGTAGCTGACACCTGCAATTTTCTGCAACACGAAATTGTAGATATTCTGACCGTTAACTGCCGTATCGGCCCCGAGCTGGCCAACATCCGGCAGACCCTTCAGAACGTCCAGGAACAGACCTATCACACTCAATCAAGTATACAGAAACAGAACAACCAGTCCTGGGCCTCTGTGGTCCGCAACGCGCCTCCCCCGGCCCATACGACCTCTTCTCACGGCTCCTCCAGCACCGCCCCGGCCACCCCGTCGGAGCTCAGCAAAGACCGCGAGGTCATCATTAAGCTACGGGATGCTGGTGCAGTACGCACCTACCGACGTCTTACGGCCTCGGATATCAAGCAGAGAGCGGAGACAGCAAAACAGAAGACTTGCGGTCAAACAGAGGCTCTCTCTTTGGCTAAGGCGCGTTTTGTAGCTGCTAGATAGCTTAGGTCCGGCGACCTGAGCCTTTCATTCCGCTACGCCGCTGAGGCCGAAGCTGCCAGGACTCACGATCAATGGGTCAATCACCTGAGCGCGGGGGTCATGCTGCGGCGTCCCTCTTGGGGCATCGTTATACATGGGATCGTATTTAAGTCAATTGGAGACCTCACCACCGATACGGAACAATAACGGGTGGCTATCGAGTTACTCGAGGAGAACAGGGACTGCTGGGTGAGCAAGGAGGCTCAACAGAGGTCGTATAGGCCGGGAGAGGCGCGTTACGGACCACAGAGGCCCAGGACTGGTTGTTCTGTTTCTGTATACTCGATTGAGTGTGATAGGTCTGTTCCTGGACGTTCTGAAGGGTCTGCCGGATGTTGGCCAGCTCGGGGCCGATACGGCAGTTAGCAGTCAGAATATCTACAATTTCGTGTTGCAGAAAATCGCAGGCGTCAGCTATCTGCTGTATAAAGCTGACTACCAGTTTGGAAAGCTGTTTTTCATTCAATTCGTTGAATGAAAGGTATTGTTGCGCATCTTTATTGAGGTTCAAAACGCAGTTGAGAAAATTCTGATTATGTGTGTTTACCGCCTCGGGAATCCTTGAAAGGGCCGGCCACGAGGGTTTCACCTTAACTATATCGATATCCTCTATAAAGTTAGGCTCAATCGATAGCGGCTGGGGTTGATAGTAAACTGGCTGATTCTAGAGGCCGTAACTGTCGTGGTGGTTGCGTAATTTCAAAAATTAGGTTCGCGTCGAAGTTGTTGTTTTTAGCCACTGTCACGGACCGTGACCAGCCTCCGAAGACGTTCCTTCGCAATACCCTATGACCTAACTACCCGATCGGGACTAGCTTAGTTTCTTCGTTGAATGCATCCCCTACATTCTTGCGATTCCGTATCGCCTGCGTAGCCGTTCGTTACAGCCACGAGAAGAAGAATGCCGAGATGGTCGACATGATACCGGTCGGCATGTTCAAGAGGGATGTGTTAACTGACGAGAATCCAAGGTTGCTGATGATGATCCCACTAAAGGTGGTGAGGCCTGAGACTATCAGCATGGGGATATGGCCTATCAAATGGCTGACGTTACCTGCGTTCGGATTGTTGATGGCAAGGTTGAAGAAGAAAAGGATCCACGTCTTCGGGTCCATGACCGCCTCAAGGGCCTGGGTTCCTTTCCACTGCTTGTTGACGATTCCGGTTGCTGCACCGCATAGTATTTCTCCTGCTCGGACAGAAATGAAGCGGTCATGGGAGAATCAGGGAGAAAGATAAAAGCCACTATGGACCATGTTATGGAGAAAGTGCCTGCAGAGTTTAGAAGTACCCACATCTGGTCATTCGCACGACTTACCAACGATGAGATATAGGTACTGCCAAATTGCTAGCGGAGCAGAATCAGGTATATGGCCGACCGCCCAAGATAAAAAACCGTTGATCACTGAGCTGACTGCAGCCAAAGCAATAGCATTTCTTGGCAGTTGTTCATGTTTTTTATAGAAACCAGTCACGATCAGAGTAACGGAGGGAACGATAATCGCTTCCAACCAACCTGGTGTCGTCAGCATTCTCTGTAGCACCGGACCAAAGCTATAAGAGAGGACTACCCATGAAGAATCGTAATGCCATCAGGCCACTCCAATTCCGTCACGAGGAAATCAAGAGAGCCATGGCAGACCAACCAAATGCACAAGACGATAAGTACTTTGCCGAAGGGAGCTTTTGGATCAGGTATGAAGAGGGCCACATGCCAACATACGGAGATATCTCGTGTGCACTAGGTGGTAGAAGTAAAGCGGTTGGCGCTGATGGTCAATGATAGAACAGGGTCATGGAAACCGAACCTTTCTGTGGTACATGAGGTTCTCCCGATACGTAGAGATCACAAGAAGACTGGTTAGCAAAACAGGAAGGTGAATGACGCAGGCCCGATGGAAGAAGTATACAAGGGTAGCTTAGCTTCAGTACATACTTTCTACGGGGCTATATGCAGCCTTTGGCCACGAAAAGCCTGAGGAATCAATCAATCAATCAATCAAGGATATTTGTGGAAGTTCCAACTACGGCACCCAATCCAAAATTAATGAGGGAAAAAACTCTAGTGACGATGCTAAGGTGCGGGGCTACATTACTATAGAATCTCTGTTTAGTTACAGCCTACCTCCTTCTTAATAAATTTCTCGTAGGGTAACTAGAGTAATCGGAAACACACCCTGCCTGTCAATGAACCGATGGCTTCAAGCGGCTTCATGGCCTCTCGTACGTACCTTCTGCCACGGTATAATACCACCCATCCGTATATGCTCCATTACCTTAGTAAACAGTTTTACCAGAAGTCGAGGATACAGGGTTCTTATATTTAAATGTACACTCTTGTCCACATTTATTGTGTCCATCCTAACTAGTAATGTTGCTTGGGTCTGCTGGGAGTCATTGACAGAGCTTATATTTTTCAACCGTTATTATTGCCAGCGGGGACAGTGGTTGGGAGTTATCTGTGCCAACCTAATGCGTCCAACTGATTGGCGCGAGTGACATTCCTAGACTTATTTTTGGCAGACAGTAAACTTATTGTCGAATCGCCAAAGCTCCGGATTTCCCGGGAACAGTGAAACGCTGTGATTATTAAATGCCCACATCCTTAACTATCGCCAAATCTACTGTGTTTCAGCCATGTGGTGGATGTAGAAGAGGAATGCTGACCAACGGATCAATGAATCCTGGTATCCTTGTCATTTGTGAGAATTAGTCTGTGCAGAAAGTACCTACGTTAGAGGGTCTGGAATCTGTTATTATAAGCCACGCAGGACCCTGGGAACAAAAGAAAAAGGGGGGAAAAACCCTTACCCCCGCAATTTTTTACACGCACGAAATCCAGGCGGAATCACTACGCCAACTCTCGATTACTTTTCAAATCACCAGCTCAAGATGCAAGTCCCGCCAGCCTAGTTGGATAACACCAACCGTCCAGATGAGTGGAAATTCGAGCAAGGCCTGTCTGGCCACACACTACCCGTTCTTGATCAAAGGGGGAGTGAGACTATCCACAATTACTCCCCAAATGATAAAAGAAGGTGAAGGACAAAGAAACCATCGCGGCTGTGGGGAACCCTGATGAAACTTCCAAGAGAGAAAATGAGGGTTCGAAATGGTAAGTAGATTATGAGGCCTTAAGTATTCTTGATCCTTAGTAACTCTTTTTGAATCACTGCAGATAAGTTGAATGGGAGAAGTATCCCGAGAAAAATACAGAAGCGCACAAGATTCTGACATCCCAAGCTTTTGACCCCTGTCCAGATTTCATGTTTGGACCTATTCTGGGGACCAACCTTGTTCTTCCTGGTGACAATTTAAGGAGTGGCACCGCGCGATTGGGGGCGGGCTGGCCAGTGTTCCGGATGACTCCTAGCGCACTGTTTTGCGTGAAAAACATCCTGATATACTTCACCTGCTGCAATTTCCCTACAATGGCGAGCCCCCGAAACGACTGGTAACCTCCAAGGTTGTCACTCCGAATCCTCTGCATTTCGTGCAAAATCATGGTGGAATTCCACTTATTGACAAGGACAAATGGAGTCTCTCGTTGGATGGCTAGTCAATCATCACAAGTTTTACACGCTGGACGACCTTCAAGACGAGACAAAAAAAAACTGCCACCATATAATGCTCGGGAACTCGCCGTATTAAACAGATTAGCCGGTATGGTGGTCAAGGAGATAAAGTTCCTCAGGCGCCATGGGCCAAAGGGGCCATTGGCACAGCACGACATCAAGGAATTAGTTTAAAGAAGGTAATCAAAGACTGTGGGGGACTTGTTACTCCGGCAAAGCATCTTGAACTTTATGGCGCAGAAACATGTGAAAGACTTGGAGGCGATGAATTAATTACCTGGTCAGTGTCCCATGGTCAAAAGCCAAAGCTAATGAAGTTATGTCGGCCTGGGAAATGGACGGCGAGCCATTGCCCAAAATCCACGGTTATCCTCTTCGGGTCGTGGTACTGGGATATATCGACGATTAGAGATATTCCTAGTTTTCTATTACCACGGATTGCACATTTCTTATCGGAGGACATAACGCTTGGTTGATTGTATTCCTTGGTTTAATATACAACGTTGTTATGGTTTGCAAAGATACGTGAGTAGCTCAAAATTCAAACAAATTTAATCCATACACATTAATCCATGCAAATTTTACAGTACTTCTTGCTCCTGCTGTTTGGATTTCGAAAAGCCATCCAAGGGCTTCAGATTGGAATTGGCAGGGCCCTGAACGCAAACACCATCGCAGCTAAACCGACTTCCGTGAACCGGACAGTCCCAGCTCTTCTCCGCGGCGTTCCAACTGAGGACCGCTTTCATATGAGGGCAGATAGCGCTGAAGCGATGCGCCTGACCTCCCTCATCTTTGTATACGGCAATGGGTCCTCCCGTGCTGGCCTTGTTAACAACACCACCACTGCCCACCGCGAGATCCTCGATATCTTTGATGTCGGAGTGCAAATAGCGCTTATACTGGCTATTAATTTGCATGTCATGCTTCAGCATGCTTCCAGTCGACTCGGCTATACTAGCCAGCCGCTTGGGATCGTAGAGGCTCGCCCATGGGTTCTCGACCCCTTCAATTTCGTCTGCGATCAGTTTCCCGGCCAATATACCGTGGGTTAATCCATTTCCGCTATCGCCTGTGACGACGTAGGTATGATTCATTCCTTGGTTCTTTCCAATAAAAGCCATATAGTCTACTGGCTCAAAAATCTGTCCGCTCCATTTGTAGTCAACGGAGCCGGCCCTGGTGAATCGCTGGCGCACCCATGTCTCCAGCTCTTGGAAGCGACCCTCCACTTGATCCTGGCCAACTTTGTGATCGCAGCCTCCAATAACTAGGTAATCTTCGTTTTCGTCACAGCTCGTAAAGCGAACATACTTGTACGCTTTGGCCTGGTCGTAAATCAGGCAGTCCTCAATGTAATCCTTAGGTACCCGGATGGCGATGCAGTATGTTCGCATGTATTCCAATTCCGCAACGATGCTTAACTTCTGGATCGGAATACAGGTTGTCTCAACTATATCACTAGCAGTAATTGAGTTGCCATTAGCTGTGCGCACCCGGACATGGTCGTTCTCTTCGATAGATGCCATTCGGGTATGGGTGAAACATTGGAAGTTTGGGTGCTTCATCAACCACTCAAGCAGACCAGCCATATATTTGGTAGGATGGAAGGTAGCTTGACCGAGAAATAAAGCTCCGTCTCGCTGGTCGATTTCGCCGTCCCATCCCTGGACAGTAAGACCTTCGCGGAAAGAAACAGTTATGCCAGCTTTCGTAGCACAATCAACTTCATCCCGGATCATGCCCACTTCCTCATCATGCTTGGGATCCTCGCGAGGGTACTGAGATATCTTAATCGCTGGTAGGTACCGGAACTCGCAATCCAGGTTGAGTTTCTTAACGATATCTGCTGCCCGGTCGATAGCCCAGGTGTGACTATCGGCCGCGACTGTCGCTCCTTTCCACCCGTGCTTCTTCGCAATCTCGCGATAGCCATCATCTAGGGCGTTTGACAAATGACCACTAGTTCTCCCACTTTCCCCGGAAAGCACGTTCCGAGCGTCGATCATGGTCACCCTCTTGCCGCGGGTGATGAGTTCATACGCAGTGGATATACCTGCTATGCCGGAGCCGACTACGCATACGTCTGTTGTGGTATCATGCGATAACGCTTCGAAATGAGGATATTCAGAGAAGGGCATACGATGCACCCACACTGGGGCTGTCTCCCCAGATGTGTTCATCCATTCATTCGCGCGAGCAATTGTAGCCATTGGGCGAAAGGTGGGAGTGGAGCGTGGAGTGCGAGGCGGCTTTTTTTTAGAGCTGCTGTAACAGCGAAAAGAGTTCGGGATTTTGATACTCGGCCGGAGTATTGCGAGAAAATTTCCCTGCGAATGGAAATATGCTAATTCCGGCTACATATTCTATTGAGCCTTTTTATGGGGCGATTTTGCTTTTCGGGCCCACCCATCATAGTGACGTGATGTCGATTGTATCGTAAATTAACCAAGGTTAGGCCTGCAGTCGACGCTTGGGGACTTATAAACATAGCAATAAGTGAACTTTGAGCCCGATTCAAAGCTGCTGACATGTTCTGGCTGATACTGATAGTGGCCAACTATCCGCGTCCGGATTCATGTTGCGATGCAGATCTTAACGGACTCTATCTGTACCAATAGGTAGTAACATCAGCTAACTCAGAGACCATTATAAGGCTAAAACGTATTTTTCTCATTTTCGGCGATATATTTGCCGGACCAGCTCATAAATTGCTGGTAGAATTCAATACTGGCTACTGAAAGCCTCACTGATGGCGAAACAGCGAAGACGGCAAAATGTGTATTCGGGACAGAACACGCTCAGGTACTGGATCTGGAAGCTCTGGCACTTAATTCATTCGATGCTACGAGATATTGGCCAAAACTTCGGTTCCCTCTGTCTAGTACTCTGTATAGTGCCTCCATGCGAATCCCCAGTCCGTTTAGTTGCAAGAATTCGGGAATCTCTTCTTGGACCGCAGCCCTGGGAATTTCCAGGCACTTCAAACAAGCTGCCTTCCTTCCTGGAAGCATGGTGCCCGTTATTAAGGCCCATTCCTTCTAGTTCCGGACCTTCTTTTACCACGACGCTCAACTGCGTCGTGTCGGAGTCAACTGGCACCTGTGCGCATTGATGATTTTCGATGAGAAAATTCGGGTTGACACGAAATACGGTATGAATGCTCAATACACATAAAATGGTAGCAAATCCTATCTTTTTAACCGGGCACCAGAAAAAAATCATTTTTCACTTAATCCAGAATAGGACATACTTTCATTGAAATGTGCTGCTACAGTGGTATTCTTGAAGCCTGTCGGATAGCCACAGCCTTGAGGTAGATGCAATTTAGCATAGTTCTACGGCATCCTTTCGTTATGCGCGTTCAGGCTACAAGCATAAATTCCTCAACTGACGCAATATATGCATCAATTGTTACACTTTTCCAGAGTCCCTGGATTATGTGCGACCATCTTCCCCCTTTGGTCATAGAAAAGTACCTCGGAGAGTCTCAGTGTTACTGTATCTAGTCTCAGATAGAACTTCAGGCTAACTCACTTTTGGGGGATGCTTCACGCCCTCATTTTCAGCCCCCTTTTCGTCGGTGATGATTTTCTCGACCTTTAAAAGTCATTTAGTTAGCATACACTGTGAACAATGTAATATCCTTCGAAAGCTGGTGGGAATTACCTCTCCTTCATGCCTGCCACCACGGATCTTTGTAAAGACGTGGTCTCCCGGGTGGATGGCCTCTCCGTGCTTGTCTTTGATATCCTCCATATTATCAATGATGGACAAAAAAAGCTCTGAATGTGAACAAATTGAGATGGGAGGAGATATGCAATGTAGTAAATAGCGAGCAGTTTGTATTTTGGTCGTGTGGAAACCCCGACCTGAGTCTGTCTATATACCGCCACGCTCAATGATCGAAGAGTGGAAGACAACGTCATGATCCGGTAAATTCTGTAACATCGGTGAATGGGGGATTTGCTTGTTATTTTGCCATTTAGCTGTCCAGTATCCTGCTGAAGCTCATTTAATTTACTCATTATATTAATCGCCCCAAGCAGTAAAATATCGACCTTAATTACTACCTGCGGTGTACAGAACCGACACTGGCAAAAGGTTTGTGAGGTCGTCCTCTAAGGTAGTGGACATCCATCTACAACCCCACAAGCTTTATTTTGATAATTAGATGTTCACTTCTGTGGCTATCAAAGATGTCATAAAAACGGTAAATTTATAATTTATTAATGGGATATTGGGGCAGGCAGCTTTGTGGGACAAAACAAAAAAAGGTCCTATACCAGCTGTCTCTGACTTTGGGATGGCGGTCGGGGGCGCCTATCTTGCAATCATCGTAGATCAGGATCGTCCCTTGAAGAAGAGGTAAATTACACAATAAATAGGTCACCTCAATTCAATGGCAATGCATGGAACATAATTAGCTATAGGAAAGGAAAATCAAAGTTGACCTGACGCGGGAGGGGTGATACGATTGTGAGATCACAATAAGTTATCCTGTTATTCTGCGCGACCCGGCTCCAACACTAGGCAAAAATCTCATGCACAAATCAGTAATGCAAACGGTATATCATCGTAACGTCATAGTTGGTTCATTATGACAGATGGTTTTGATTCTAGACTGTCATCAAGCCTGATTATGTGCATTATATTAAGCATGATATGTCCTGCATAGCCGGTGAGAATCGACTTCCAAGACTTCCTTTACCATCGATTGAGTATATCGCCATGACTACCGAAGAGAGGCTGAACCAAATGCGTGGCTACAAGGCGTACGTTCAATGAAATCTTCATGATGGCATTGAAAACGCGAGCTGACAACCCCGAACAGCACTTTGAGCAACCCCAACGTCTCCGACGAGGCAAAAGAACATGCAGAGCAAATGCTGCAGGAGCTTGGCGGTAATCAACCTCAAGAGGAGATCCATCACGCCCAGGGCTACGGTAAAGACCCGATGAGAGTAAATGCGGGCCTTAAGGCGTAAGTGCCTATTGTGGAAATCCCTTGCTATAAATCAAGTCGAACCTAACGGATGGAAAAGTGCGCAGCAGAACCCAAACGTGAGCCAAAGCGGCAAGCAAGCTGCAGCAGAGAAGTTGGATAGTCCGGGCGACTAAGCATGATCATGGCACAAAAGTTGCTAGTCTTATAAAACTTTCAAGTTTAGGATACGTTATCTCGAACCGTGCTATGTATATCCTGATAGTCGAGAATGTATAACTCGTTCTTAAAAGAATTTATGTATCAAATGTTCGGAAAACCTTGTACTTTCCTTAGGCAAAGGTACGCACAAAATAACTACTAGTATGTAGCATCTGTAAGCGCATGTTGCAGCTGTACGTAGATCTTCCAGAAAGAAATCAATTCCCGGACTTACGTGATACTATGTTTTGCCTAAGCTCTCCATATGATATAGTAAATCCCCCCCTGTTCGATCCTGGATTTCTAACTGACTGTTCTTATGTTGAGGTATTACATGTAGATACATATAGATACAACACCTCGGTTGAAACCTATTCTTTGAATAGTAACTATATTCTAGGTCAGCTCGGTCAGCAATTACCCACACTGAGTCAGCCGACAGATAGGTCTTGAGTACCAGTTATAGGAATTGCAGAGTAATCTGATTTCAATTTTACATTACATTATACCGAATCCAAAAACTCGAAAGCACTCAAAGCTACTGGGCCTCCGCCGGCAAATCATCTTCATTTGGACCCTCGCTATATTTGTTCTCGGTTCGGGGCTTCGCATGGCGAAGACGGTCGCCTCGCAGGATATTGCTGGAGTTGGCGATTTCTGCTTCATCTTCCTCTGTAATGAATCGTTAGACTAATCCTTTTCCAAGTACGTACGTTAACTTTTCTTACGTACCAACTTGTGCCTGAGTGTTGGAATATGGAGGCTGGATAGGGTCCGCATAGGGCGCCCGATCGCTCTGAACAGGCACTTGACTCCTTAGGTTTCTGTTGGTTTCTTTCGCATAGGAGTCGTCGGCAAAGTGGCTTGTGACCGGAGAGGGATCATTGTCTCTCTCCTCGATGTCTTCGGCTTCTCTTTCGTATTGGTTGGACATTTTCAGCTAATACGTAGAAGTGACAGAGATAATTGTTGAAACAAAGGTTAGAAGAACAAGAAAACATATAGCGCTTAATGAAACTGGACGGACTTTTAAATTACAGAATCAGGCAATTTCGTCATTATGAGGTTTGGAGGCGCCTTCGATATTGCCGTCGTTATGACGTTTGAATAATAATCCCAAGAGCAGGCCATACGGGCGGTTATTGGTCTGTGACATTCAATGATCGTTGACGCTGGAGAATATCACCTCTGGATCTGTTGTCATTAGTGTGTAACTATATCGCCCGAGTGAAGGAAAGGGGACGTTGGACCCGAACCCCAGGATATCTTCTCTACTATCGATCGATCTAGCCTTCTCCGCGGTTCGCGCTAAAGCGAAAGATCTTGAGATTAGGGGAGTTCTACTAAACCAGCTAGAAGACATTTTCGCTAATATAATTGGTGATTCTAGTGATTAAAGTCGTAGACATCGTCATAAACAAACTGAGAATCTACGTAGGAGTTAGTTCGTGGGAGTTTAATAGTTAATAATGTATGGTAAATGGAGGAAGCTTACGATTGAGTTGTTATGAATTCCGTCGCGCTGCCTCTCGACCGTTCATCAACAATCAACTCCCCGGTCACAGCAGTGCTGCTGTCCCCGGTTTAATATCCCGAGCATCTTGGAAGATCCTGGATGCGCTGAAGCGATCCTCCTCCCGTAATTAACGATGCGATTCTTCTTCTTCAGACGGCGATGATTGCGTCGGCTTACTCCCCATTCTTTGCTCCAATCATCCGGCTCCTTGTTTTCCTTGCACGTCCCTAGTAGAATGTCATGATGTCCGCTCAAGTCAGCTTCCTCCCTCCTGCTACTCCACCCCCTGCCTCAACCGATCTCGCCTCCACCATGACCGCTTCGCCCGTCGACTCCCTCTCCTCCCTTGCCTACCTGACCGACGAGTCCTCGTCGAACCTGGACAATCTCCTTTCCCAGCCTCCGGCGTCCGCGCCCGAAAACTAGAGCTGTGATTCCACAACCACCCTACAGTCCTCGAAGTCGCAGATCCGGAAAGGTCAAAATCATAACACAATCAGGCACTCCGACTCACTAGGTCCGACAACCGACCGAGACGAGGCGGAGCGGCGTGAGCGCGAGAACTCCCTGGCCCGCAATCGCCAGGCCGCCACTAAGTGCCGCCAACGGAAGCGTCAATTCACGAAGCAGCTAGAAGACCAGTACGAGGAGATGTCGCGAAAAAAAGTAGTCGCTGGAGATCGAGTTCGCGCAGCTCCAGAAGGAGGTCCTCGAGCTGAAGAACGAGCTGCTGCGGCACTCGCAGTGCGCTGATCCCGCCATCAGATCCATGTGGCTGGCATGGTCAAAAAGAGCCACATGGTCAAAAAGAAAAAGTCGTTAAGTCGCCCGGTCGATCCCCTTCGCGTCCTCCTGCGGTGTCAGGGTCGGAAAGCGCAGTGCTCGCCTCGTCCGTGCCGTCTGGCGATAAGGGCGGGTGTCGTACGCTGCCGGTCTCAGATTGCGAGGGTCAGACTCAGCGGCCGCGCCGAGATTCGATGTTCAGGCGTCAGCACCGATGCCAGTGTGGATAGTTCCGTCAAGAAAGGGCTGTTCGAGGAGATGGTAAACTTTGCTTAAGAGGTTTCCTTTAGTGTAGTATCGGGGCGCTTAGGTCGTAGCTTCCAGTAGCACTAGGATTTCATCGACAGCGGCGCAATTTACAGACTTCACGGGAATCATGTATCTCTAGAAACTTTCATCTGAATGGTGCAAACCAATACCTAGTTTCTCTTTACGACTACGCTCAACCAAGGTTACTAAGACGGCAAGCCTAAACATACGTTCATTCAACTATCTGGCGCTACATTTCAGATATCTAAGCATGGAGAGGAAGATATTGACAAGGTCAATATTATTCTCATTGCATATCTGGTCGAATTGAGGCGTAAGATGGCTGCCATGGCCGTCGAGAATAAGAAGACGATATCTTCCAGTTGTACGACCAGTAGTAGTAGGAATAAAGAGATTTTGAAGCCAGCACAGGCCTATCTCATCAGTGGTCCATCCATTAAGACTAACTTCAATCCTACTATCGCGTGGGAGCTTAATATCTTGAGATACCAACCCTCTATATGGACCTTCCCTTTGAAGATCGCACATGGAGGAAGTGCCCAACCAGTAGAGTTGATACATTCAATCGAAGTAACCTATGCTCGATTGCCTGGCTGTACGAGAGATGCCTTTCCATAATAATCAGCTCTAGTAACTACTTGGGCAGTAGCTACCAGACCCATAGCGAAGCCAGTCTCGTCAAAATTGTAGATATCTTCCTGTGCGATCCCATGCTGCGTTATAGTGATTTGTACGCGATCAAACCACTCCCTAATAACCTTAGGGTCTTCGCATTTCGCTCGTCGAAAATCGTAGCGTCGAGAATAGCGTGTTTTTAGCTCATTACGTCGTTTAATAAACTTAGAGACCCAGTTCTCTCTGACTGTCTGAATAGGCGTTGTACCGCGCGCAGCAAGAAGAATATCGGTCATTTCTCGTATATGCGAAGGTCAGGGAGGCGCTCCACGTCGATCTAGCGATAGAATCCATCGTACAAGCGATTCTTCTTCACATCAGAAGGAATAATAGCTTCACTTATTCGTCATTTCCGTGATGGCAGTGCTGGGTTTTTGGGGAGTGTGGCGGGCAAAAGTGGACTAGGGGTGGAGAAACGGGCAAGAGGGAGATGCAGTTTATTGAAGTTACTCACTCAGGGCACTCAGTCTTCCGCTCACCCCGTGCTCAGCATTCGCCTCAGGCTGCTCAGGGCGTGCTCGGGTCTACTCAGTGAGCAAAAAGCGGCGAAGGGTGAGCACTAAACCGGAAAGGGAAAGCGGTTGCCCTGGCTAGAAAATCAAGTACATATGAGGCATCCCGCCCCTGTAAAAGAGAAGTCAATAAGAATCAATCAATTCTCACTTCATCTACGCCTACCCGTCCAAAACATCGTTCCGTGCAACGTCCGCCACGAGCACACTGATCGTCGATACTGTCTCCAGACGCAGGATGGCAGCAGGTATTTATTGTTTAAGTCCAGAGCCCATTTCAATGATAGCTGATTGTCTCGAATCTGATGACCTCTTCAATTTCCGAAACTCTGTGTTCAATGTTTCAGGAACAGTTCTCTACGATTGTTTACAAACCGCTTCTTCCGTAAACGGATCCACTTGTTGACTCAGCATAGCCTTCTGGCATTATTGGACATCTCGCAACATCATCAGTTTAGTGCATCAATCCATACTGTGATCATCACTCCTGACCATTTGACCCCAAGCGGGCCCTACTTGCCTCCCTCGTGGAATTGGGATCCCGGTTGTCAAGATGTCGCAGACAAACAATGGTACAAGAAGTACCTGAACGAACAGACGTATTGCCGATTTACAGGTCTCGATACAGCATATCTGACGCAAATATTGAAGAATACGAGGAATTGTCAGACTCTTATTCTCGATGATCGGTATTGGCCATGGGGGGCTGCTCATATCAAGAGAGAAACCGGTTGCTACCCCTCTTCAAACGCCCGTAGTGACTACAGCAAAACATTCTTCAAACAAGTTGTCCACGTTCTTATTGCTGCTATGACTGCAAGCGGAATCCCGGTTCTGGACCTGGCCATAACTACGCAGCTCGAACGAATACACGTTCAACCGAGCATTCTTCATTTCCCGACACCCTACCTTAACCATGCATCTTGGGATACGGCGCTTGCTAGCCTACAACTCACCGTCGACCCAGGTTACGGCCAAGAGCCGATAGCTTGGTCAAAGCCTCTTGCGGATTTTATCATGCTTTTCCCGCGCCTAGATTGTCTCGATCTATATTTCGACACGCGCGTGGAACAGCCGGCGTTTCACGCCCTCTAAACTTTTAAGCTTGCCCCATCTTCTGGTCCTACATATTGGAGGTGTTGATTGCTTACCGGAGGATTTGCTGAGGATATTAGTCACCCATCGAAGCAGCCTGAGGGAAATATTTCTGGATATCATTGGTCTTAGTACACGAACCGGTGGCTCATGGCGAACACTCCTTGCTGCACTCCGGGAGAATCTCCAGCTCACGAGATTCAGAATGGTCCAGTGCGATGTGGACGAATATGACATCTTGTTTGAAGATAACAATAATCGTATATCGAATAAAGTGGACTTGAGTGGCAAAGACTCCCGATTACTGGATGATGTCATCCAGTCTATCACGAAAGTGATCCCTTGACAAAAGGTTGGACGCAACCGAGAAGGCAGTTGGCTGGCGTTTAAAAGATAGTTGCAGCATTATTCATTGACGATCCCCTCCTGGTAAAAAAGAAAGAGGGTCGTTCTGAAGTAGAAACGGTCTAGATAGTCTGAAGCAGAGAATTGCCTGACCCAGACCTACCTGGAATTATTTGAGGATCACACATGTACGTAGAGATAGACGGCGTCTTTGAGATTGAATATCAATAATCAGAAGAGAGCTATACATGTAGTTGACTCTAGATACACGACGTAGCGCGAGGAAGCAAAAGGTGTCGCTTCCTCGCGTTCAAGGAAACTCGAATAAGCTTTGTGGGTCCCTCACACCGTATGTCCTCGTATATGTTTCATGTCCATATAGGTCATTATTGGTGAAGATGCCCAGGTATCTTCTTCCGTCCTCGACGGCCAAGATTCGGCCTCCCCTGTGCTAAGGGCTTTGAGCCTCACCGTAAGTACTCAAGTCATGAAACTATTGGTCAAATTGTTTAAGGAAAAAGGAAAAGCGGCGGCATATCTCCGCGTCGTGGCCGTGTTTCAAGATAACCGGTCATCGCAGGGATCGTGTGGAGCTGGTCCAGTTTTCTGCGGTCTTGCCCAGGCATTCTTCTTGCAGCCTCTGGTCGGAAGGATCACCGATAGCCTTAATTTCACCGGCTCCGCCAGATTGTGAGCATACCCATCGCCCTCGCGGTTTGCAAACGCTCCTTGCTTTCAGCAATTATTCACTCCATTCGGGTTTCCACATGGACCGAGCTTCACGCGGGAAGCCGCCAGTAACAGACTGCTGGGTCTTCTGTCCCAACCTGTGATTAGTAAATAAGCCATGCGATCCTGCTGTCGCTTATGCGGCAAGTGATGTTTCAGATTATAGTTAAAGTCTGTACATCCAATAATATGGCCATTTTAAGAATAGTATCTCTCAGGAACATTATTGGCCATTTGTTTATAACAAGTAGGAGCTAGATAATAACGACAGCCTGCGCCGCCCACAAAATCGTAATTAGAATGCTGCCTGATATTAGAACCCTGCAATATGTATATCTTGAAGTCAGTTGACTATATTTTATCCCTGAGAGCTCACTTGACTAAAGTTCTTTTAGTTATATAATATTTGTTATGTTGGACACGAGGTCATTGATGAAACGTGTGTGCCTGAAGTAATTAAAAATGCTGTTAATAAGGTTAAATAAATTTTTATATTGCCAGCATCATCGGTTTAGTGTAACAGGTATTCTATTAAATAGAGTTATATCAGGTTATTAGGATTTTTTAATTGGGAAATTTTGTCTAACAGTAAAGTAATAGTCATGCGTAGGGATAGTATAGGATCTGGATAGTCTTAAGAGATTTATTACTCTATCCGCCTGTTGTCAATTTATACTAGATGGCAGGGTTCACTAATTTGAGGCATATATATTTGCCCTGGGCAAATACATAGAGGAGACTTGATAACCAACCGCTCTATGATAATTGTGCTCGTTAGAGGAAGGTGGCAGTATTCCAAATAGCGGCTTGCTTTGGATGTCTATCGGGTGGGTAAACACCAAAATAATATGGCATTCCCATTCAATAGACATCAATCTTCATCCAATGACATGATTCTGCGTGGATAGAATCCCTCCCTGATTCCTACTACATTCATGTACCATTCGTTCTTGTTGGTCCAGAGTAGAGGCAGCGATAATACAGCGATATGTAACTCTAAGGGAAAAGACAAAAAATAACGCTAGTATTATAACCCTGCAATATCATCCACCAAGAAAATTGTGTATCTCTGAGGTTGCAAGTGCGGGAGAATATACGCAGCAAGGAAAGGCTGAAACATATGTGCCTGGTGTTCCTTAGAATTTCGATATTCGTGTTTGCTAAATTATATTGCAAGGTGTAAGCGAAATGATGATGCTTCAATAGTCTATAGTGACCCTTCCGGTGTTGGCTTAGTATGGCGGTTGCTCTTTAGTCAGGTCATGTAACTAAGGTCTAACCATGGGTTGAGCCCAATCGCAGGTAAGTATAGAGTTTTGGGGAGCGACTAAAATCTTTTGAGACGAGAACCCCATAATCTAGGCATCCATATTGTATTGTAGATACACTGCAGCAGTTAGGATTGGGAACACTTAGATTGAGAAAGAGGGATGCATTGTCTAAGGACTTACCAAAAATTGCTATAAAGCAAGCTCTATTTCTGCCCTTACCTTTATTCATAGCATTATCTCTTTCAATCAAGACGTCTCTTGCTAACCAATCGACTCTATATTTTATCTATCTTGCTATTGAACGCTTACATCTGCTCTATCAACTACAAATTCTTGCCAATAATGAAGCGTAAGCTTTCCTCTAATTACTATGGAAGAGAGTCATACTGATATTGTTAAGTTTCAGGATCTATTATCTTAGGGTTGGCTTATATTGCTGTGTTAACATTGTCGGGGGCTATTCATCCCCCGATTACCAGTACTATAGACACTGCGCGCTCGCCAGCGAGCCCTGCACCTATACTGGAGCGTTCCAAATGGATACCTCTAGAACCATCACTTTCAAACATTTCTGTTACCCAGAACTAGGTTCCTCTTAGGCAACGCGCGAATTCGCCTGGAAAATGTGGGTCCTAGGACGTTGATGGTTATGTTGCTCGATGTAACTGTATAATAACAGGTTGGTATCTCTTTCGCTCTTCTATATGCATACACTAGACCTACTAATACAATTATAGGCAATGAAGTTGCAGACAGTTATATTGCTGAATATGCGACTAGTGCTTGTGCTGCATTCCTGAGCAGTATCCCTGGTGGCAAGGTCCTAGATAGCAAATGGCTACGCTTTGCTGTCAAGAATATCATCGATACCAGTGGTCAGCCAAGTGTTTTGAATTTTCGGTGGAAGAAGCTTTCCAACAGTGGCGTGACTCTTACACAGGAACTCTGTTTGGATGCATACAATATGCTGGGGGCTGCTGTCTGTGACCAAAGCCGTGGGAAATCGGCAAAAGGTGCGACAATCAAATTGGCAGGTAGTCAGGGTTTCGAAATTGGAATTGATCCAGATGAGATGAAAAACTTTAAGGACAAGGATAAGAAGTATATCAATATTGGGAAATTTATTGACGCCGTGGTTGGCTAACCAGATAAGGGAAATTATTTTAAAGGGGGGGGAAGGGGTTTATGACGGGCCAATAGCAGGTCAAAACTCGTTATAAACAGTTGAGATAACCAGAATGCTATATCCCACACCAACATGAGAGCGAACTTGCGATTATGCATTGCACGGTTACCAACTGAGAGAGGGCGAATATTTATTGATATGCATGCTTATTTCCTGTTTTGTTCCTGTCATCTTAATCTTCTTATGGAATCTCGCCTGTTAGGTAGTAGTTAGGAAGGTCTCTATTTAAACTTCTTTCTTGCTTGCTTTGGCCGCTAAACGTGATAAATATACCAGGCTTCTTGCATAATTTAGGTCTTTTTGATAATCTTAAAGAATCTTTCAATATCGTCTAAATTCGTTGCATTACTGCGCGTCAGGTTTACCTTGATCATCATATGTATTTATGGCCATATGTTGGAACTTGTTAGATTAATATACTAGATAACCCCCAAATCTTCCTTACTAGTGTCTACTGCTAAAAATAATCTACCTCAGCGATGTGAGGACCTAAGTCAGAGTGCGTAGTGGTGCTGAGCTTTACCACTACGCCACAACCAAAAAAGGCGCAAATCGATGACCAAACGGACTATATAGCAAGTCGGGTCCGTGACAGGCGATCACGCCTTGGCCATTAGAATAACCTACCAGTCCAGAGCCATTAACCAGCTAACAAGGAAGCCTATGGTGGTCCCATGCCAGTGATGTAAACCGGCAACAAGCTAGGTTTATTAAAAAAATCAAAAAAGTGACTCGCTTCTTGTCATGAGCTGACATGGCGCCTAGGTAATATAACCACTTGACCCGCTTAGCGGAGGATTTAACCCACAAAAGCTTCATGTGCATAATGGCTTTCTTCTCTACAGTTCATATTTTCATGAAACGAGATAATACATTTATGTACTTGAGCTCGCATGTCACAGTTCTACCCACTAGAACACTAGGGCAATCCAGGCATACAGCAAGCAGTCTTGCGATTTTATGAATACTAGAAAAATCAACTAGTAGAAGCCAATCAGGTCTGCTTAATGTGGAAGTGTTGGTTTCCCTTAATATTGCCTTGTAAGCTACGCCAGGGTCGGACTTTTCACGCCTGGCCCAGGCAAGGAAGCCTCTCTACTATATAAGGACCAATAACGAACTGAACAATCTACTAGGCATCTACTTTACAGGCCAATCCCATTGCTGTTTATTCCATAACCCGCTATGATACTGTTTCAGAGAATCACCTTTTATCCTGGGGAGCCATAATCTAGGACGATAAGCCTAGCCGGGACTTGTCTAGTATGGTAGACCAGCCTCAACACTCGGCTAACGCAGGGGGTTCTTTTTCTTTCAAAAAAGAAAAAAAAAAAAAAAGTTTAGCCCGATGCAGGACCGAGGGGTATGATCTGCATAGATACGCAATCATGGGCATAGGTGCAAGGTAGATTAGGGCCATATTGTCTGGCAAGCCAGTGAGGGAGAAACTAAGCGCGCCATAAGTTAGGTGGCGCCCCATGTAACCTTTATAATATGATACCGCAGCAGCATTCCCAACACCATCGGCGTTAACAGCTTCACCTCGGGCAAGGCACAGTTGCTCCTTCATCATGATATTCCACCCTTCTTAGGATGGATCCATAGCCTAGCTGACCAGTTGAACCCTTCTAACCTGCTGTTATCTGGATTAAACCGGGCAGTGAAAAAAGGCACAAGGGCCCCGCCAGACACTCTTTGTTCTTGGGGTCGGCTGACAAGAAATTGGTATCGAACCGATCCACGAGTCATACTTAGCGCCCACATCCCCGCCGTGATCACTTCTGTGGAAGCCACCAGGCTCAAATGTGATAACCTCACATTGCTGCCTGTTTGCCGTCGAACCAACCCCGGTAGCATATCCAGGACGAAGAGTGGAATGTTATAGTCCTGAGGGATCATCCTCCAATAAGACTGCTTGCGACAATAGCAAGAAGTGTTGGCTGGCAGGAGCCATAGCCATCGTCCAGTATATAGGAGATTGTTGCCCAGTAATTTCCACACTTCTATTCATTCAGTGTCCTCCGATACCCCATTGTACCCTTGCAATTGATTTGGCATTAAGAATCCCTGCCCCATGTCTACGCTGTGCCAATCGCTCATGCGGCTAGGAAAGCCCAAAGGAACCAGTGATGAGCACCAGTCGCTGCCAGAGTTAATAAAGGAGCTGGAAGATGATACTATACTCCTAACTGCTGCCTGGCAAGGCTCCCACTTCTATAAATTCTGTACGGACTAGAACTAATGCTGAAACTGACCCTAGTTAGGTGGCTAACATACAGCCAATCATTCCGCCATGCGAACAGCCGATTTCCATAGAATTTTAATTTCGAGCATTTGAACAGGTTGCACAGCGACTTGTTTGATGTCTTCGGGAATATGGAGGACTCGGTATGTCTCAGCTTATATAAAGCTTGTCATTTCCCCCCAGATGAGATGGGAGACAACTGCCCGGCAGTAAACACTAGTAGCCCGAAACAACAAAACTTTGTTAAAGATAATCACTACCTTGTCCACAATACCCTGGAATATGCCAAAACTCCTTGCAACCTTGGCCGCCAGCAGCCTTTTTTATCTAGTCTTTACAATTCCAACTGGGGATGTCGAACAGTGGAAAAGTCATCCCGTTGAATATGACCCTGGCAATAGTACGAACTGCCCCCCAATATAGTTGAGAATTTTGTCAGAAGTACTGATCTAGAGATGAACAGGTATATATAAAGTTCAGCCAAGTTGTGGTAAGAGAGTGATAACAGTACCGTCTACTGGTTCGCATGAACAGCCCTATTTCGGGGCAAGTGTGGGAAACCGAGCTATCCTTGAGAGCGCATTGCAACTTAATGCAACCAAGCCCGATGACATGGAAGATCTATCCGTTGCTGATGGCGAGGACTTAACCACCGTCCTCCAGGCACTCGATTTAACAAGCCATGGACATGGGCTTGTGAGTCGAGGAGAAAAAGAGGAGAAGGAGTTTAATTTCCAACTCTGGAACGGACAGACATATTACGATTTCATCGAAGCTACAGAAATGGACCCCGAGACCAAGGTCACTAAGAAAAAGGCGAAAATGCATCCAAATGAGATCAGAGAATTAGCGAAAATTGGTTATGATCGGATCAAGAGTAAACATGAATTCAAAGGAAATGTGATTGTGTCTGCGCTCTTTATACCAAATCTCGGAATCGCGGTAGATTCCAAGCCCCGCGGTACAGGGGTTGCAGCTATTTTGCTGGACACAACCCACAAAATCAAAGGGAAAAAAGTGTACGTGGAGCACTGGTTTCAACGATACTGGGACTTCATTGAAACACGAGATATTATGAATTCAGCTAAAGACAGCACCCCGCGTGAAGATCTGCTCCACGCAGAGGATTTGGTGATCATCAAAGGAGCTGATAAGTTCTTGACAAACCAGAAAATACTTGACTGGGGATTAAATTTAAAATTTCCCAAGGGAACTCATATGGTTTCATATGGAAAGTATAATTCCGAACCCGGTTCTAGTTCTGTTGGACCGAAAGAACCATGTGGTGGGACGGAAAGAACAAAGTTGACTATTTCCTGTAAGGATGTTTTAAGCTATATGGGTATTGACTGGTCTATCTGATGGATATTTTTTAAATATCTGCAATGATTCTCTCATTTCTTACTGGTATGATTCTGCATGTTCTTCTTTCTTTCCTGTTATGATTTATTGTTTGAGTCGTATATACAGTACATAAACCACCCTATATCGGAAATTATTAAATCTCCTAGCCTCGCTCTCAGCATAGCTGTGTAGTGAACAGAACTATATAACCGTATTCATAGATCGGGACTTTATTCGGTGGTTCGCTTAATGGATGCCAGCAGATTCATTATTTCTGGGTCACTGTGCCGCGCGGCATAGGAAAGTAGTGTTTGGCCTTCAGCGTCCATTTCCCCAAGATCAATTGAAGAGGAATTCCGGAATAGCATCTTTATTATTTCAAGATCACCATACTCAACCGCATATGATAATGGTGTTCGTCCCTTGTGATCCTTTGCATTAGGGTTTGCTTGACCATCTTGCATCAATAATAGACTAATAACCTCCCGATACCCATTCTCTGCAGCCACAGACAGAGAATTCCGCTTGGTAATTTTGTCTTGGGATGCTGGGTTTACCTTTCCTGTCCCTAACAGAAATGAAACAATACCTGTACGCCCTTCACTTGAAGCTATAATAAGTGCAGTGTCTCCCCTATCAGTAGCAGTGTCTGGATCAGCCCCTGCTTCATATAGAAGTTTCATTATAGATAGGTGGCCATTCAATGCAGATCCAAGTAAAGGAGACCGATTATGGCGATTTCTAGGGTCAGAGTTCACTCCCTTTGCAAGTAGAAGCTGCACAATGATCTCTGAATTAATTTGAACTGCAAGGTGCAAAGCAGACAGTCCACTGTCGCATTGATAGTCTGCATTGATGTTAGGTACTTTAAGCAGTAGCTTCACTTTCTCTGTAAATCCCCTGCTAACAGAGAACATCAGGGCAGTCCATCCTTTCTTGAACAAGTGGTTAGAAACTATTGCAGCATTAACATCAATGTCCTGTCGAGATAGAAATTGAGACATGGTTGCTTCCGATCCGTAACTAGCAGTCCAGGAAAGTGGTGTACGGCCATGGTGATCTTTTAGATTTGGATCTATGCCTGGTGTAGCAAGCAGCTGTTTGACCACAGCATCTTGGCCACTAAACCCAGCATATGCAATAGGTGGTCGTCCCGTCTCATCTCCTAAGTTAGGGTTGATATCTTTTATTGAGAGTAGCAGTTCAACCATATCCACATGCCCCGCTTGGGCTGCTCTTGCTAAAAATGTCGCGCAAGATTCATCTTCTTTACCCTTATACTGAAAATTCGGATTGATCCCTTCTTCGCATAGAAGAATCCTCGCAATATTTGTGTGCCCCGCTCGTACGGCTATTGAGAGTGCATGGTAGAATGTCTCAAGTTTATTATTTGAAATTCTGAAACTAGCATTCAGCGAGTGCTTGGTAGTCTTGGATATCCCATGATTTGCAGCCCACAGGAGTGCAGACATCTGCCCATGCATGGCATTGAAATAATACAGAAAAGCATTAGTTGTATTGTAAAGGCGGCGGTTTGTCCTGGTTAATGAATTTATATCTTGTTGTAGAGCTAAATAGCCTGCAATGCAGTGTAAAATCTCGTTTGGCAGGTCCAGCAACTGTGGCATCGCGAGTTTTCTCAATCAATTATATTGGAGGTGGTCGTTGAATTCGGATCACGTAGGTAGAAAGGAAGGTCACAATAATTAAAAAGAGGTCTTCGGCACCCAGAAGACAAACTGGACGAAGCAGACTTTGGGAGAAAGCGGGGCGAAGAGTGATTAAGAGTTTATTCCCAAGCAGGTGTTGAGAGAAGGTTGAGGCTGAAGAACAAGTTGATATGGGTGACAGATTTATATGAGTAATTCTATGAGAGCTTGAAGATTCCCTCTGTATTCATGATTGTTGTTGTTGTGTGTTGTGTGTTGTGTTGACCCCTCTCTTGAGGATCAGCCACGTCACTCATTTCACATGATGTCCCAATATGGACTAGCTTTATTCTAACAGGAGTGTGTATATTTTCCGCATCAGACAGCCAGGGAAGGCCAAACTAACTACTTGATGACTGGTCCCGATTATAACGGGCCAGTGTTGGCACGGATCCAGCATGGGGCTGTCTTTCCAATGGATCTACTGCCACACGCAAGCTTGATAGTTACTATGATTTTTTTATCTATCCCATTGACCTCTGCTCCAAGATGAAGAAGCGGCAGACTTTCACAGCCTCTAACTAGAATGGACTTAAATAATTCGCACTGGGTCTTAAGAAGTCGCTACTAGATTGCCTGCAAAATATAGCGGATCTACCCTTTCACATCGTTCCACTACATTTTAATATGTACGTAGATTAGGCTGCCCTTTACTTACCTAGCTTTGACAATAGTAATAATAGCATAGGTCTTACTCGTCTTAGCCTTAATCCCAGCACGAGCGCATATACATAGTTATCGATGTATACTGTTGTTGTTGTTGTTGTTGTTGTTGTTGTTTGTTGTTGTTTTATTTTTCGGCCGTGTGACACCGCTTAAGCACGTGTCCCACCATCCCCTGTTGGGGCAAAGGCCG